ATGCAGCCACACAACTCTTTTCATCTGACTATAGTGACATTGCTTTTCGAATCAGTTTGCTTAAATAATTATTGTACTGTGCCAAATGCACTAAGAGCCCATTTGGTAACACTGAAATTATCTGAATCTGCTGATCCCGTTGGAATTTATAAAGTTCTAGCTTAAGTGGCTGTATTGGCCGATTATGCTGATTTATGAAAAAATTAAATTTAAAATATATTTTATTAATAACATAAAGTAAAATTATATGTAAAAATAGCTAAAATAGTCCTCTACAGTAACTTCAGCCGAAACAGCTAGAAAAGTAACTTCAACCTTACTTTTTCTTATTATTACACATTTCAACGTGCAAAATCAAAAGTTACGTGTTTGGTGGAAAAGTTGGCTGATAAGCCGAATAAGCGTGTTACCAAAGGGGCTCTAAGTTGTTTTTCTTTGCCAAACAAAGGTAAGTTTCCGTGCTTTCCAATGGAGGAAAGGACTTGCTAACATGAAATAAAGCAAGCAATAATATATTTTTCTTGTTAGCACTTACCTGTCGTTTATGGACAATATGATTGATCCTCATATTTTCATCAACGAGCTATTTTAACACCAAAAATGATGTTGTAGAGCTTATCAATAATTATATGATTCATTGGTGCATGAAGAAATGGAGACCTATTTGAGTTTTAACAGCACATGCTCGCGTAAGGGCAACACTAAGTTGACTCCGATGAAGTGCATACTCAAGAATTTTTGTACAACTCTCTGGCTTATGTAATGAGACTCGCCTGATTACAACTCAATTGGTCACGAAGTTTTTTTATTCCATGGCTATCATTGGTCCCGTCAGATAGCAGAATTGCTTTCAATGTTCAACACTGGCAATTCTCGACCGTTTCATTTGCCATGATAATAAACAAAAGCCAAATGACAAACTATGTTTCAAGTTTGCATATATCTTCCAAAATCTGTTTTTGCACACAGGCAATTGTATGCTGCCATGTTAAGGGCCACTTTAAAGAGTGGGTTGAAGATTGTTATATACTTATATGTGACAGTAAGGGTCATATTATCAACACAACTAATAAAGTTTTTATTAGCAAACAATTCTTTTTCCAAAATTTATGAAACTTTTTTGAAGATTATTGTCAACAAATATGATTGTTCTATTTCACTATGTATAAAGTTTTATGACACCCACTAATAATTGTACCATCAACTTATTTTATTGTCATGTAGAGCTTATTTTTATACCTTATCATCATTTTTTTTATTTCACATGCAATTTATCATGCGATCCAAATTTTTATTTTCTTATATCTATCGCAGCTTATATAATAAAAGTTAAAAGAATATACATTCTATTGTATTTTTTTCTCAAAATTACACATTATGTAATATCGAAAAATATAATATTATATAAGTTACTATTCAATTCTAGATATACCCCGTGCATTGCACATTCGCACGGGTACTTCGTCTAGTTAGTTACTGTATTAACGTTGGATTAACCCTATTCATTTAGCAGTTAGCCCAACATAAGTAATAAATAAATCAAATCTTATAAATATTCAGTTGATTATTATGATTTTTTTAGTTTAGAAAACTCTCAAATAGACCCTCGTACTTTGCTCAATTCCACAATTAAGCCCTTGTACTTAAATCCCCCGAACTCTTAAAAGGTGTTCAATTAAGCTAATTAGCAGGTAACCAACCAGTTCCCCGGTTAGCTACTCGCGCGGCGGACAGATGTCATTTTCCTTTTCCTTTTTTCCTTTTATTTCTTTTCCTCTTTTTTTTCCTTTTCCTCTTCTTTCCCTTTTTCCGTTCTCTTCCTTACCTGGGCCTGCACAACGTATCCCTCGACGGGCAAACTTCATCCAACGGCGCACGACGTATCCCTCGACGGCAATGGCCTGGATGGTCACGTATTGCGAAGAGAGTGGAGCGATGGTACTGGACAGGGCCAGGTTTGCTTAGACCTTCGAAGCTGCAACGACCATAACCAGAGCAGAGGCAGGGGAGAACTGTAGCTATGGAGGATGCGAAGCTCGGAACCGGCGGCGAGATCTGGTGAAGCAGTGACCTAGTCACAAAGCTCTTAACCACCGGCGGCGAGATCTGGTGAACCGGCGACGAGATCTGCGAAGCTCGGTCTGCATTCTCCGGCCGGAACGCCATTCTGTGCGCTATAGTTCCACTCTTGTTGTCTCCGCCGAAGAACACGCGGTCTAGAAAGAAAGAGGCGGCCAGAAATTTTAGGCAACTGGAGAAGAAAGGAAGGGGGAGAAAGGAGGGGGGAGATTGGAAGAAAGGAAAGACGAAGGGAGACATACGTCGTACAGGCCTAAGGAAGAGAATGAAAAAATGGAAAGACGATGAAAAGAAAAAAGAGAAAAAGAAATAAAAGGAAAAGGAAAATGACATCTATCCACCACGTGGAAGGCCACACGGGTAGCTAACTGGGGAACTGGTTGGTTACCTGCTAATTAGCTTAATTGAACACCTTTTAATTGAGTGATTAATAAGTATGAGGGCTTAATTGAGGAATTGGGCAAAGTACAAGGACCTATTTGAGAGTTTTCTCTTTTTAGTTCAAATGAATATTGGCAATTATAATGTTATGGTTGTTGCGTTAATTATGATGAACATTCTTACTTGTGCTCCATGCCTCCATTAATGTTTGACATTAGAAATACAGAACCTTTGAAATTGAGTGTCTGAACATTTCCTTATACTTGATGAGTTATTAAATTATATAAATTATTTAAGAACTAAATGGTATACAAAAACAGCCCTGAACTATCCCGAAAATTCGTAGAGACAAGTGCTACATATATTTGGAACTACCTTAATTTTTTAGGGAGAATTTGAGTTTACACCCCCTTTTTGGGTGATATTGGATTTTGCACCCCAATTTGAAAAAACTTTGATTTTGTATCCCAACACATAACACTTTGTGAAGAAAATTTTCTAAATGGGATGCAAAGTCAAAGGGCTTTTAAGTGGAATGGGATGCAAAGTCAAAGTTTTTTCAAAATGGATGCAAAGTCCAATATCATCCTAAAAGTGGGGTGCAAAAACAGTGGCGGACCCAGAAAGTCGGAGTCACGGGGTCCCTACCCTTTTATATCTCTAATCACTAATTAATATAAAACTAATAAAAAATATTAAAGAAGCATAAGATTTCATAGTTAACGTACACCATCAAAATATTAAGGTATTATAAAGCAAAAAAATTACATATAAAAATCATTCAACAATTCTAGAGATGTACCCTCCTAAACTTCATTTGTTGGAAATATTCTATAATAGTTTTGGTCTATTTAATTAAAATAGGCCAAAACGACGTAGTTTTGGTCTATTTAATTTAAATAGTTTTGGAAAATAAAAAAGGAGCCCCAAGGGGATTTGAACATGGTACCTCATCCAACATAGAAACCTAAATCCCCTATGTGCTCCCATTCCTCTACGCCATTCTTGTTCTTATGTCTTTTTTATGTAAATATACACTTAATAATTAATTTTATATAATATATATAAAATATATAGGTATTTTTTTCGAGGTGCACGGGGTCCCGGGACCCTGTGGGACCCTTACTGGGTCTGCCTCTGGGTGCAAAGTCATATTCCCCCTAATTTTTAAATGAATCATAATTTGGGACGAACACTTTGTTTAAGGGCACCCACTATGGGTGGTCAATGGGGATCACAAAAACAACTTGATCCCTCTTGATCCCCACTATGGGAGGTTATGAAATGACGGATCAACATGCAAGATTAAGAGCATCCCCAATGGGGATGTCTACTTTCTTTACACACTCTTACACATGGCCCCATTTTTTAACTCACAAATTTTATGTGTAGGACCTACATATCTTCACATTTATTTTATTTTTCATTTTTCTATATCACTTTTAACCCACTTTTCATCCACATTCACTCGTCGATTCCCGTGTAAAGTCTATTTGTGGACATTTTCATAGACATTCTCTACAATTTTCTCATATCTCTCTCTTCCTTTTCATTTCTCATACACACCACTTTCTCCATATTAAATTAAAATAATCATTCTATCTCTATCTCTCTCCTATGCCACGTAGGATAGACATTACTCCCATCCACTATCCCATTGGGGATGCTCTAAGAATGGGAGCTACAAGCTTATTTGTGACTAACCATTTAGAGAAAGCCAAGTGGCATTTTACTTTGAACTCACCCCATTAACTACCCCCAACTCCTTAATTTCATTTATTATGCATTAAATTTAATTTATAATAATAAAAAAATTATATCAAAAAATTGGATTTTTTTCCCTCTATACATAGACATCAATGAAGAATATGTTTAGTTACTTCGAAATTTATCATTTCTTTCCTTCTTGCATCTTATTTTATCCATTTAGAAGATCTTTTCCTCAGAATTAAGGATATGTAACAATTTTTTAAAAATATGCTTATTTTATTTTTTCACTAAATAATACAGTAGGTCAAATGTGGATTTTATATGAAGTATTCCTTTTGTCAAATTAAATAAATTAATAATGGTGGAATATGTCAAAATAAGGAGAGGATGTAAAATTTTAAGTGACCTAGGTCACCATAGTGAGGGAAAATAGGATAGGTTGAAGGGGATTAAGTTTTTGAAGGAAAATGATGTGTAAGAGAGGAGGGGGTCAAATGTCATTGGCATTGCAGATGCTCTAAGAGAACCGTTTCGTACTCTGAATCTCTGATAGTCTGATCCTGATCCGGCTTTGAGTCCACACTTGGCCCCCCTTATTTTCCAAAAGTTATCCCCTTGTTTGATTTGATTTATTATATAAGAGTAATAAATTTAAAGATACTTAATTTAAAAAACGACAAGTCATATCTTATGGGTCTTATCTTTTTTTGCATTTTGCCTTATATAAGACCGATAAATGGAAACTTATTAAAAAAATTAAAATGAAAAGTAAAACCAGCACCAAGGCAAAACCAGACTAAAGAATGTAGGTTTCCTAATTGTTTGTTTTTCTCCAACTGACATTTTCAAGTTTCAAAGCAAGAATATTGTCACAACTCTACTGTTCATAACAAACCTTGAACAATCAAGGTAGCTGTGACATCAATACACCATAAGTTGCAAATTGTTCTCCATTCAGACTACCGTTACAAGAGATACACAAGTGCTCTTTAAAAAAATCAGAAGTGAATACAAATTTAATTCTGGTCGATGAGGATGAATAATGTAATTCAGATATACCTAAGACTTGGTATTAAAATTGTACAGACGGCATTTCAGTAGTAATGACTACAGGTATTCAAATAAATCTTCTTCGTTCTGCAAATCCCATGTTACTACTTTACCATCCAGTCCTGTTCATTTTGAGAGCGTGAACAATCTGACATGACCCATGTTCTAATAATTTTAGGCCCAAGGCCTTAAAGGTCTGTCACGAGCCCCCCATATGGTAGAAAAATAAAACGAGGAAAACAGAGAAAATAAATGACAGATTTGAACACAATAAATTTGTTTCATGCATTTCTTTCAAACTCGTTTTATTTGTAAACTATTAGAAAAAGGTATGTGCAGCCAATTTAAGCTTAACTGGCACCATAAAAAAGTGCTGTTTAAGAGGAAAATGAGAAGTAATTTAGTAAATACATCAAAGTTTTGTGTGAAAAAAGCGTATAGAGAAAAGGTGCACCGTGTTTTGAAATTAGATGTGCATGGACGACACATGTGGTGATTGTTCGTAATAACGAACACTAATGCACTCGTGTATATGTAAATAAACTTGTTGTCATCCATATTGCACTTTACAGTTCCATATACTTGCGATTATTTCACCATGTATTTTAACGTAAAATTGATACATATATAATCCGTCAAATTTTAAGTGATGAAAGGTCCAGTCAATAGAGATGGCAGTTTCGGCCGACCCGTTGGATACCCGCACCGAACCGATTTGGTCAAATTGGGGAAAACCGGTTTGACTGGGGAATGGGTATGGTTCTATACTAATCCGCCCCGAAACCGCCCCGTTTACTAATGGTGCGGGTACCCGCACCGTTACCCGATCCGTAACATTATTAATGAATTATAACTTTTTATATATAAGAATAATAAGTATATATGCTAAATTGTGTATACTAAATAGTATATATCGTATAAATAATGCTAAAAAGTATAGGCCTAAAACTAAATATAGGCCTAAACCTGTTTTTGGAATTCGGATTCTGGGATATTTACTACCTTTTTATTATGTTACAAGAGATATTAGGTGCATGTCATACTAATGGATTTAGGCCAGTCTGCTTGATTTGCTTAAATATTTACTAATTGTATGTTTTAGGGTGCTTTGAATATATAAATAACAAGTAGGATTAGAAATTGGTTATTTGTTTTCCAAAAAAATGGTTACTTGGCATCAATTGGGGAAACGGTTACTCGTGTATAAACCGATTCCCCGTTGGGGCGGGTACGGTTCAAATAAAAATTACCCGAACAGGTAATGGGGCGGTTTTGGGGCAAACATTTATCCAACGGGGCAGTTTCGGTTTTATGTGTACCCGTCTCCGATCCGTCCCGTTGCCATCACTAGGTCCAGAGCTATTCTTATTATTAGTGGGAAGTATAGTTTTTCATTTCAACCTCTATATATGTGTGTACATGGAGTATAAACTAAAATTTCTACAAAGGAATACTCAAGATAAGAATAAATCTCTATTTCATAATAAAAATATTTCAGCCCCAAGACTTTGGTCCCAAGGATATTCTTATATAGCTTATTGTGTATGTCTTTGTGTGTTCATTTATGTTTATACATAAATGTGGAGGTGTAGGGGTGAAACCAAACATAAGAAAAAAGCTCCTTGACAAATTTCCCCTTTTCCTAGTATTTTCCAAGATCCAAATATACCCTAAAAATACCCAGATAATACCTAGGTGGTATTTTTAGAACAGTGGGAAGAACACATGAAAGACTAACCTGAAGTGCTAAAAAGGGTGACTGCAGAATCCTCAGATTTCTTTAGTGGAATAATGCAACTGAAATTTGCAAAAACAGTGAAACAGGAAGTCAAGATCTTGATCTTACACATCTTTAGCTACATGCCAAGTCAGATGTGTGAGGTAAGGCAAATACTTGATGCAGTTTTCATGGACGGTTCGTGATGGCTCAGCCGAGTTGTTGTTTGCTACATGCTTTGATTGGCCGTAAAATATCCCAAATGCTTCTGAAAACTGAAATATGAAGATAAACTTATGAACCCATGATAGGACACAATAATTTACTAGGTGTCCAGACAGTAAATTATGTGTGGTGGGAAGTCCTGAACAAAAGAAGTTACAGCCCACTCTGGTAACATTTATCGGTTTATTCTGCCCATCGATTTTACTGCTTTTAGATAAATAAAATCAGCAAATTCCGCTATTTCAACTAAATAACCTTTACCAAACTGGACCTAGGTAGAAGCATGGAGCAAACCAATTCATGTACCTGAGACCCATGCTTTGTACTTGAAGATGTTGGTTTCCTTTCATCTAAGAACCTTAAGAAGCTCCTACATAATACATGATAAAAAAGAGGCAAGTTTACCTTCATCTATAGAAGAAAAATCTTGTGGAGAGCATTGCTTCGCATGATGAGGTAATGCTCTTGTTTGGCTACTAAACATTTTACTTTTCTATGTAAATCCTATTGCATGCTTATCAATTAAACCAGGGTGGAGGCATGGAGCAATGATGAAATAGAAACAAGAAAAGTGCCGATTCAGTACATGAGTTTGTATCTATGGGAGTAAAGAGTATCCTAATTTTATTAGACATTTTGAAGTATTTATTCTTGGTTATCTGGTGTGGATATAGTACTTCTGTCATCTTAACGTTAAAAACAACTTATGTGGCAAAAACTATCTGTTTTTATAACATTGGATTCTAGGTCAGCCTCACTACTTAGTCTCTTCCCTGCATATTTCACTCATTTATCAGCTGCAAACATATCTCTTTCCCCACTCTTCTTCTTCATCAGTTAATGTTCTTATTTCTCTCTTATGACTTGTTTTTCTTCCTCCTCTTCTAACTATTTGCTGATTTGTCTCTTTTGTTAATACATTATCCATGGACATCTTCAAGCTTCTTTTGCAATTGAGTGATATATATTATAACAAGATCTCTTTGATGCCAAATATAGGTTTGTGGTGGATTGAACTAACTTGAAGAAAAAATTGAGAATAGCGCTCTAAGGCCACAAGGAGCTGTCATGGTTGTTGCCGACTTATTGCTGCTACTCTCAACACTATTTCGGGTTTAAGATTGAAACGAACCAATCAACACTAATAAAATTTATGTGCGAGGCATTCTCTGTACTAGTGCAACTAAGCAATCAAGCAGATTAAAGTTTCAGGTTTCTATAAAATAAAAATCAACACTCCAAAGATTAACCATAAGAATTATATCTAACTGAATTCTGAAAATTAAATCTCATAAAAACCCATAGTTACACCTCGGCGTAAGACCTTATAATACCTCATAAATATCATTCATTCTCCATCACGAGTTCCGGTTCTTGAATGATTTTTGGTACTCCTCTCATTGTTTTCTACAGTACCATCTTCATAGTTCTCATAGTTGGAATCTTTGGGTTAGGGTTTACATATGCTAAAGATTATGACGAAGCTGATGATTTGGACTCACTTAATACATCACCTAAAACGTTAGAGGTTACCAAGTTTTAACGGTGCAATAACGTATGTACTCAATCTACACCAACTTACCAAGTACAAGTAACATGTAGTTTCTAATAATAAATAATGTACTCTTTACTCCCTTTGGTACAAGTTCATGTTCTAAAGTAACACTTCTCTCAAATAGAAACATAAGCACAAGAAGAGAAATTACATGACCAACATATTAAGGCCCTCTTAAACCAGATTTTATATTTTCAGTTTTAAAAGGATAACATACTAAAAAACAGATGATGGAAACCACAAAGTGTGTGTATCAGTTTTCTATTGGCAGTTTTCAGAACTGATAATTGTAATAAGTGTGGAAAATTTTGGTTTATTATACAATATTACAATGTTTTTCCATCATTTGCAATGGAGCCAAAGACTCATTATTTTTTGGCTTGAGAATATGATGGAATAAAGCAAAAATGGCTCACTAAACTGTTTGCGCTTCTTTGTTATGAAGCAGCAGTCAGTCCATGCAATTTTGGACGCGATTTTCACAATGGGTCATCCGGAAACAGTCTCTCTATGCTTTAGTACGGGGGTAAGACTACGTACATCCGACCCCCCCCCCTTACCCCACTATAGGTGGGAGCCTTTGCGGCACTGGGGTAAATGAAAATGAAAATGATACAATATTATATCTGCTGTGGTTGATAATTTGATATTGTTCCTCTCTCCTAATAAACCTAAGCTACCCACTCTTCATTTTCTTAAAAAATGCCACAAGTCAATAAGGAGTTAAACAAGAGAATATTGAGAAACTTTCAAAATCATAAGATAAAAAACTGATAACTGGCAACACAGGATGTATATTCAACATACCATAAACCTGTTTCATCGGCAATGAAAACCATTGGATTACAATCAAATCCGACTCCAATTACCATCCGCTCTGAAACAAAAAGTACCTAAAAGATTTGTGTTGATTATGAATACAAAGAATATAATGTGAAGAGACAAAAAAAATGAGAGTGGATGCTGACCCACATCGCGAAGAGGCAAATCACGGAATGCTACACTTTGTGCAGAAGGGGAGGGACCAATTTCATCAACAAAGTAAATCATTGAATTATGCCCTGTGGGATCACACTATCAGCAGTGAATATGCATTACCAATCAAAACTAGCAGCCTAGCATTTTTGTTTGACGAATCCAGTTCTGTTCTTTAAGGGTCTGTTTTGGATCCCGGAAAATACTAGTGACAGAACATAGGAAAGAAAACAAAGAGGAAAATTGGAAGGAAAGAAAATGTGGAGGAAAATAAGAGATAGGCTAAACCTCAATTAATCTAGGGAAAAGTACATAAAACGTATCCGTTGTTTGGGCCATTTTCAGATAGGGGCATGTGTTTCATTTTCTAAATAAGTTGGGCATGTGTTTCAATTCCGTTATCATAGCAGGGGCATGGCATCTAACGCCGTTAGAAAACTTAACCCCGATTTTAAAAAGTCTCCGAAAAATTAAAAGAAAAATACTGGGAGGTGCGCCTCGTCAAGGAGATCAACAAACTATCTTTATTTTTTTGTTTCCAGCCACCATCTTTATGCCCCTATCTCCAGAAAGTCCACCATAAAATTGATATTAGCGAATTTGTTTTTAAAAATAACCCAAATAGAGCCGAAAAATCCAAAGAGAAAGATAGTTTGTTGATCTCCTTGACGAGGCGTACCTCCCAGTATTTTTCTTTTAATTTTTCGGAGACTTTTTAAAATCGGAGTTAATTTTTCTAACGGCGTTAGACGCCATGCCCCTGCTATGATAACGGAATTGAAACACATGCCCCACTTTGTTAGAAAATGAAACACATGCCCCTATTTGAAAATGGCCCAAACCACAGGTACGTTTTTTGTACTTTCCCCATTAATCTATTTAGATCATTGTTGATACTCATTTTATTTCATGTTTGTCTTATATCATTTGTCCCCCTCTTTCTCTATCTAATGTTTTTAACTCCGATATCATATGTCGATTCATGTCAACCGCCCCAAACTCTTTTGGGAACAAGGCTTGGATGTTGTTATTAAAACTCATTTTGTTTATTTATTTATGTCTATCCAATAAAGACCAAGGAATCTAAACATGTGCAAAAAATAAGAAAATAATCATATTTCTTTTTCATTGTCAATAAAAATCAAACATAAAATAACATTCTTTAGCACTTGTTTTCCATAGCATTTTTTGGGATCCAAACATACCCTAAAGAGTTATCACAAGCTTCTGGTTAAACACTTGTCAAGGCAAAGTTCTGAAGTGCATAATTTACTTCAAGAGCAGGTCTATGAGATGGATAGTTGTATCAGATGTTCCAGGTTACAATAATTTTTTTGTCTGCATAGACACATGAAAGAGAAAGGAATCTCTAACCTACATAAGCTAATGTTTTGCCACTTGGAGACCATTTAACACCGAATGACCAGCAAAATGAAAGATCAAGCTGAATGATTTGCTGCATCATTATGAAAAAGTTAATGAGCTAATTCCATTAGTAGACACTAAATCATACTAAAACATAAACATCTTAGTGAACCAGGTATTGGAAACAAAAGGAATTAAATACTTAAATGATTATTGTAAACTATCTTTCTGGAATATAGTTTTGTAAAATTGAATAACCTTGTACAAAATTACTGCAACCTTATAGAAACAAAAGGAATTCTAAAAAAATAAAAAAGCATCTGAGCACGCTGGCATAATGTTTTCCTTTTTTGTTGTTTGTATTTTTGTCACAAATTTGATGTAGGTGACAATAATTGATTTGCCACATTACCACTACTGCTGCGATTTTTGTTTGTAAAAATAATCTTTCCACAGGTGTTTTAGGTTTTTTTTCTGAAGCACACTAGTCTCTTTCTTTGACCCAAGTGCTTATGTTCCGGTTTATAACCCCAACCCAATCCAGAATTCTATCAAATTTAATCAAAGATGGAACTCCAATGTGTACAAAATAACTATAAAACTTGAAAAAACATGTTATATAGGATGTCTGATCTGGGACTGAAACTAGTCCAATTAAAAGCGTCATTAATCAAGCAACATATGAATGTTTACTTTCTTCTATTTATGTCATTTGGCAGTACAAGTTTGAGTCACAAGAACTTGCTCCACGTTATGAACAAAGTAGTAGTCAATTACTCAATTCTGTTAAAAGTACATTATGTATGATGTATTCCCAGGGGCTGTCAAACCATGGTAGTGCAACCCTTGATCAATCAGATGGCTGCCAAAGAAGCCGAGGGTGATCATGAGGAGAAAAACTCTATAGTTTTAGTATATCGTCCAGCATGATCCCATGCATCCAAAAAGGAAATTAGTGGGTAAAATATGTTACTGGTCCCAAGAAAGGCTAGCGGGTTGTAGGCTAGGACCTTGCACCTAAGCATCACTTGGGGTGGGGATAGGTGTGACACCCCGGCCCCGCGGGACCCGAGGTAGTTACTCCAGACCTCTAGTACTGTTCTCACAAACCGCCACCAGCCTTTTCCGCGCACTTTGTCCTCACTCGTGCGCGCCCTGAGAAACTTTCCAAGGGATCACCCATCTCAAGACTACTCTCGTGCAAGCACGCTTAACTTTGGAGTTCTTAGGTGATGAGCTCTCTAAAGGAGATGCATCTAGTTGGTATGAGTAGTACTATTAATCCATTTAAATTAAATCTCAAGTGTTACAATCACCCCCACTTAGGATCGCAACGTCCCCGTTGCGCCCATGAACCAATCTCAAATCTCAATCAAATCCCAGAATCCACCCCAGCTATGTGCCCGCCCGATATCCAACGGGTCAGCACACTGTCGCAGGATTGCTCTGATACCACCTGTAACACCCTGGCCCCGCGGGACCCGAGGTAGTTACTCCAGACCTCTACTACTGTTCTCAAAAACCGCCACCAGCCTTTTCTGCGCACTTTGTCCTCACTCGCGCGCGCCCCGAGAAACTTACCAGGGGGTCACCCATCCCAAGACTACTCCCGTGCAAGCACGCTTAACTTTGGAGTTCTTAGGTGATGAGCTCCCTTAAAAGGAGATGCATCTTGTTGGTATGAGTAGTACTATTAATCCGTTTAAATTAAATCTCAAGTGTTACAATAGGTGGGGTCAAAAAAATGTAGTCTGGCAAAGAAATCCCAGCACCTTAGTCAAGATTTCAGCTACAAGACTCCAAAGTTTTTTAGAATATGATAATGAGTGCTACAAATTTCATAAAGCAATCTTATTGTTTTTAATAGTTATACGGAGTAAGGATATTTTTACTTGGATTGAAATTTGTTGATCTAGTCTGGTCTGGTCTGTTTAAGTTTGGTCTGGTCTGAACTGGTCTGGTAAATGTTTGGTGTCTGTATTTTATTACTACAGAAGTCTGGTCTGGTCTGGTCTGTTCAAGTCTAGTCTGTTGTGGTCTGGGACTGAAAACAGTCCAAGTAAAAACATCCTAATAATCAAACTGTAGATAAATTTCTACAGCAAAGTTATAGCTATGCCAAAGACAGTAGTTAAGTACTTAATAATACATAACCATTAGTCCATTTACTCCATTACACATACAATCTATTTGCAAATGAAGAATGTAAAAAAAGGGTGTTTCCTGAGGTCACCTTAGAATTTTGGTATTCCTCAAAATGACCAATGGGATACCCTCAAACAATTTCACAATATTATCTCAGGATATTGTGCAGGGTCCCCTCGTAAAATCTCCAAGTGTATTTTAGAAAACCTCAGGGTAATTTTAAATAAGGTGCAGAGTAGAGGGGAATTTAGAAAAATCACAAAAAACTAAGGGTTACCCCAGGAAATTTCCCAAAAAGAATCACTCATTTCGTTGTGAAAGGAGGACCAATTCTAACCTCTCCAAATTTTGAATCTGAAGAAGAACTTGCCCCTGATTGCCTGCTCATTGAAGCAAAAAAAATAGGGCACAACAAAAACACATGGAAACAAAATTGACATGACCCAGACAAAAAAAGAATTGTGGCATTGAGCATGATGATACCTTGTATCAACACCTTTGATGAAAGTAGAGAACACTCTGCATTTTCCATCAGTTGATGTTGTGGCAAGGAAAACCTATTGAATGAAATTAAAATACTCAATAATCATCTATAAATTATTCCGGTAAAAAGACTTGTGCCATTAAAACCACACTGGACTGCAGTTAAGGAGAAAAACAGTTGTATTTTCGTTAAATGTTGAAAAATGTGATCTCCAATGTTTAATTTTCCATAATACTGAGGGTAGACCTTAAAACCTGCGTAAAACACAGTTCAACTACTCCATATGTCCCACAGAAATAGGCAACATTTGACGTTTTTAGTCAATCATGTTTGATTTTGACCAGTGTTTTTTATCGATATATTGTGGTCGAATTTATAAATTTTGTAGAACAATTTTATATTTCTTCAATACAATAAATCATTTTGATAAGAATACATTATTCTTCATATTTAAGCATGGCCTGCCTTTCTGGGACAGAGGGAGTATGTGATAATGTGAATGGGAATTTTTGTATGGCCCATAATAATGGTCATAAAAGAGAACAAGAGAAGGACAACTAGCTAATTGAGTCAAATATCATTAAACCGGTTAAGGTTTAGGAACATAGTATAGTTTGTGAGTAACAGACTGGGGGTTATTTACTTGCAACTTAATGAACTTGATGAGAATAGTGACTTAATCGTTCAACCATTAGTTTTTTTTTTTCGTTCAACCATTAGGTTAGGTTTACTTAAACCTTAATTAAAACCACGGCTTATTCATTCAGTCAAAAACTTACTTAGGATGTTTTTACTTGGACTGTTTTCAGTCCTAGATCAGATCAGACCAGACTAAACTTCGATAGTTATAAAATACACAGAGACCAGACATTTACCCGACCAGGTCAGACTTACAGACCAGGCCAAATCAAATCAAACCAGAAAATTTCAATCCAATTAAAAAATATCCTTAATCATTAAGTTGTAATGTAGTAGTTCCTCCCATTAAGATGCTCATTAAGCCGTTTATTCAACTAATTTTTTTCAAGTGATTAGGGAATAAGTTTATGTTGATAAATGAAATTGTTAATTGACAATAAAACACAATAACAATATTAAATTGATTATTTTACTCAATTCAGATTGATATTCAACACACAAAATAAACATCCTCATATACAAATGTCACTTGATCCCAATAGAGATCTTAATACAAATAGACATTTCAATCCAGAAAGGACTTCATAGAAAAAAAGTAACCAGTCCCTATATTCATTTCTGAAACACTAACTTATAGAATGAAATTTATTACTCCCTCTATCCCAGAATAAGGTTCCTGGATATTCTCTTTCTCTCGCAGTCAATGAATTTTAACAATTAACACTTATTTAAATATTATTCAGGGGTAATTAACTTGATCATCAACTAACCAGTATCCGTCATAACTGGATTGAGAGCTTTAATAAGGGACGGATGGAGTACTTCTTAATATATTACTTATATTACATTACTAATACTAAGGATAAAACTAGATACAGGTAAAACATTTATATAAACCAGTGATTAATAGATAAAAAAAACCATATAAATATCAAACCCTTCATTGCACAGTTAAACCAAGAATACAAATACTTCCTCTGTTCGGTTTTATTTGCAACATAGCCGTGGGCACGTATATTAAGAAAATCCTGACAGAAGTTCTTTTTTCCGACTTTGCCCTTATTTCCACTATTGGGCTGTATAGTGAATTTCTGAAATCAAACCCCACCGCTTTTGATATCTCTTCCTCTTTTGCTTAGCTTTTCTTCGAAACTCTGTAAATTTGGAGTGTGAGCACAGACCATCCTCGTCTCATCGCTGTTGATGCTATAACCTCCGAAAACTAAAATTTGCAGAGCTATCAGTTTGGGACTATCTCAAAGGGCAAAAAGTCGAATACTTTGTAGCTTACTACTCAGCGCTGGCAAGATCTCCAGATGTAAAAGTCGTAATCGAGCCAGCGAGAACGTCGGAGGGTGAGTCATCGAGTGTCTCCAGTGCAGGCGGTTACCCCAAGACTTGAGTACTTGAATTTCTCCATCGCGATGAGATCCACAAAAATAAAAATAAGAAAGTAAGAGATATCTTGGAGAAGAAAGTGTCAATGGAGAAAACTAAAAGAAGTTGCAGAGAAAGAGATGAAGAAGAGGTTAAACGTAATGGGTGGACAGAAATTTTGGATACATGAATTTATGAGTAGTGGGTCAGGATATTAAAATGGATAGATTAGGTTGGACGGTTGGGTTTTTATTTAATAAATGTAGGGCTCCGTATTGCTTAAAAAATGTTAGGGTGTTCTAGTCATTCTAGCTACTTCTTATTACCATAAAAGGAAATGTTGCAATTATTTTGAAACTTCCCAAAGAGGTAAGTGTTGCAATTATTTAGGTACGGAGGAAGTATATGTGCATACTACACCAGCCATATTCTCCTACTCAAATATACTAGTAAGAAAATTTTCAAAATGAAAGCCGAAACCAAGCTCCAGGTTCAACAAATGAATCAAATGTAATGCTCACACCTATGAGGCTATGAGTAGTTTTAAAGAGCCCTATATGACTCCCTTTCCCTGTAGAATAAAGTTTTAGGTGTCCAATACTTTTGAAGATAATGTGTTTTCTACGTATTAATTATGTATTGATTATGTATTGCACATCCCATTCACACTTATACGCCTATATAAAATTGAACATCAGAATTTCAAGCTATTGAAGACAAAGAATAACAACAATTGTAGATGAAAGATTTCCAACTTGATTAGAGGACCATGTTACGTGACGACAGCTACTGAAAACAAACAGAAGAGTAGCACACAAATTTTATGTCCTAAATTCCTAATGCATACTTCTAATCGCCAAATTCTATGTCATAAGACACATCAGGTCAACAACAGGGAGCTTACATTATTAGGATGCCAAGCAACATTAGTAACAGAAGAGTCATGTCTTTTCCGGATAAGCTTACTGACCCACCTGTGAAGGGGGAATCATTATTCTTTAGGAACATATACAACAAGATAATCATAGTATCATACAACAGCAGCAGCAGCATCAACAACAACATCCAAGCCTTAGTCCCAGTCCCAAAAGATGGTCATTCCACAAAACAGTAAAATACTGACAGTGACACTAATAATAAATTGATGAACAAGCAGTTGCCTACTAAATAATTTAATACCTAGTTAAAAAGGAAGATAATTACCAGTTATTCTCTTGATCATAGTAACATATACAAACAGTTTTGGCCCCACTTCCAACTGCAAACTTGTTCTCTGCATGAAGTAAATAAAACGCCAATAGAATGGTCTTTTTTATTCCAAGTCATAGAGAAATTTCATGCATGACAAGAAACTTATAGGATCCGTTTGGACAAAATGCTAGGTAAATAAAATATGAAGTAAAAGATAGGTGAAATTTGTATTGAAAGATAATGTGGGGAGAAACAAAATTGGTTCGCTTAATATATTTATTTTTAGTATTTGTCCAAACTTGCCGACCCCAAAATCTTTTGGGAATAAGGCTTGGATGTTGTTGTTGTATTCATTCAAGCTCGTTAATTCTTTATTTATCTCTGTTATATAAACACTAACAAATCTAACCATTGTATTTTTTTAAAAAGGTGTTAATCATATTTCATTTTACTTCACTTTTCTTTGCATATATATTTCTTTATCTAGTATGTTGCAGGATCCAAACATACCATAAAGTATCAGCATTTATAATATTATGGCCTGGGAAAGCTTCATGTGATATGTACGGATTATGGGAGAGATGGATGGTTAGAGCTTTTGGTCCTAATAATAAAAAATGTTTTGACTCGAGAGAATATTAAAGCTGCTTCAATATGACTATACCTTTAGGACTCCACTGCACACATAAAGCTGCACGATTTATCTTAAGGATCACTAATGTCGCCACCCATTCTGTTGCTTCCAGGTTCCAAACATACCTGCAAAAGTGTTCTATTTTAGTATATAGTTAACAATAGACGTATAAATAAGGGTATATATTTGCAATACACAATTATTATCGTTGTGTTTGCAAAACATAAAGCCTTTGTTTGGTAGACTATGAAAGAGAAGAAAGAAATGAAGAGGAGATAAACAGAAGAGAAGTGATTGACTTGCCTTGTTTGGCTAAACCACAGAATTAAAAAGTGGTAGGACAAACATCAAAACATTTCTCTCCTGATGTGAGAAGAAATGGGAGAGAAATGAATCGCCCCACGATATTCACTCATTTCTTCTCCATTTCTCTCCTACCCTACGTAGCACATAAACGTGTAACGAGAAAAATATAAGGATATATTTATAATTATTAATATTTTTCATATACCTGCATACATTATTTTCATATATAAGTGTACATACTTTTTCCATATAACTTTGCTAAATAACTGATGATAGAAATAGTCTACATATTCAAATAAAGATATTATTACATGTTAGTACATAAGTAAATGCAACTAAATACATTTCTGGTAACAAATTGCGCTGTGAAGTACCAAAAAGACTATGTTGCTCTGAAGAAAATTACATAAAAATCAATTCAAAATTTCATAATCAGCCACTAATTTCATCAACAAATATTTTTAAACAGAAGGAGACATTGAAACAGTGAAACACTAATTAATAAGGGAAATGGGTTTCCTTATTCTAATTAATTACGGAAACGGTCTTGAAACGGGAATTTGATGTTCCTGAGTTTCAAACGCGCTTCAGAGTTTCTGAAAACAGCAAAAACGCGAGCAGCAAGAAGTGCTTCTTAGCACCTACTAAACAACACACAAATATATTCAATTTCTCTCATCTCCATCTCTTTTGAACATATTGCTCTCTTCTAAAATGAAAACAGAAATTAGAATATCACTTACGAATTACGATCATGTGAAACGGTAACTATTTTGTTGGAACTTGTACTCCAGTCTATCCCTGAAACAATTTGATCATGCTGTCACATGAAGCAACAATAGAAACCAAAGATATTATTAGCAAAAGCAGCATGAGAAACAACCAAGCCTTATTTCCTAACCCCAACATTAACCAGTAGAAAATCTCTGCAGCATGAGAAACAACCAAGCCTTATTTCCGAGAATCAACCATATTATAGGCAAAATGCATAGCAATAAACAATGTTACTGAAATCATTACCTTTTGAAGAACATGAACCTTCTCCCATTTCTCTTCCATTGATCTATATATGTGTACTTCACTGGTGTTCGGGCAAAGGGCAATCACTAGAAACAAGGTATACATCCATTAGCAATTTTAAATTGTTTAATCTGCAATATTAACAGGAAAACGTCTACAAAAGCACAATAGCCAGCTCACAGCAACGACATACGGAATACATGGAAACAATTAAAGCTACAAAATTCGAAAAAGCAAGAAAAAATAAAGATACGGATGTACTAGAGCTGTCAGGACTCCAAGCATGGCAGGTGATGCATTGATCAAACTGATTTACTGATATCACAGCCATTGATTCTTTCAGCTGCGACAAATGACAATTATAATAAGCAATAGTTTATGGGGGATGGATCAGCAGCAATTGTAATTTACAGTAAGACAATGGAGGATCCGAAACAGCGAATCGCGGGGAGATCCAAACCTGCAACGAGAGATGTGATCTTTTCTGAATCAGAGATGCCCAATGCCCAATATAATTTGAGGGCTTGTACTATATTCAAAAGGGAAAACTATTGGAACTTTTATAAAAAGGTCAATTAGGTTCTTGAAGATAACTGCGCATTTTTGCGTTCTCGAATTAATTTGAATGAGCTCCCGATTGAATTTTTAGCTGAAATTTGGTATGAGTAAACTAGACTCGATAAATAAGATGCTCAAAAAATTTCATCAAAAAATTCCACCGGGAACCGGCCCAAATCGCGACGACCGGACAGAGTCTCCTATAGAAGGACTTAATTGACTTTTTTATGAAAGTTCGATGACCTATTTGACAGTTTTCCCTATTCAAAAAGGCTTGATCATAGACAATTAATGACGCATTTATTAGCATTTATTTATTAAGATTAATGCTGGCTAATTAATCTGAGCGGTTTTATGTATATAATTAGAGCATCTCTAATGCTATAATGTGTACGGTGCACATGTGTCATGACCACATAAATATTAGCAAATAAATTATCTTTCTCCTTATTTGAATGATTTTATATAATTTTGGTAAGTTTTTTCCTGCAATGTCAACAACAATGTCAACATCTAGACGGTTTCTTTGACATTATGGAGAAAAACTTACCAAAACTGTATAAAATCATTCAAATAAGGAGAGAAAGAATTTATTTACCAATATTAATGTGATCATTTCTCATGCCACGTGTGCACCGTGCACATTTTACCATTGGAGATGCTCTTAGAGTTATTATTGTAATTAAGGCGTAAGTTACTCAAATGACTGACCAGAATTGATGATTGCATAATGACGATTTTGATGTCGTCTTAACGGTCGGAACATGTCGTCGTAACGGTCGAAACCGTCAACAACGGACAAAAGTGAATTAAATACCTCTCTTATAAATAGTTGCAAGCTCCATGTGATCTGGGGTTACTTATATACGTACAAGCAGTTACGAATACACATACTCTCAAGCTTTACATTGTAGTTCAAGAGCATGTTGTGAAGATCCTTCTTCTTCATCATTATATTTTAATTTATTTTCTTTAACAATTCTTCCATAATTGATTCTAAATTGCTTGATTCCCATCTCAAGTATCAATTTTAGATTAGATTATTTCTTGCTTAAACAATTTGGCGCCGTCTGTGGGAAATTCTTGCAAAAAGATAATCAATTATGGCCGAAAGTTATGAGATCCAAGCACAGCTAGAAGCCATCCGAGAAGAGCTCTGTGCATCCAGAAGCTCTGATGCGGCGCAATTAGAGGCTGTCCGGGAAGAAATGCATCAACGAGTGACTTTCCTCCAAGGCGAGAATGATGCTTTGAGATCTCAGGTACAATCGGTGGCATCCATAGCCTCCAACACGCGACGAGGGAAAGAGGTCATGATCGTGGCATCCAGACTGAACATGGACTCTATACCAACCTCAACCTCGACACTCACCTTCACAACCGAGTCCTTTCCGGAAATGTTGAATTTCGATCCAAATGGTGGTCCTTACTCCCCAGTGATTTCACAACTTATGCCATACGAACCTCTTGTCCCGGAAACGACTCCAATGACGAATATCCCAATGTGTTTCTTCCCAGATTCATTGCGAACCAGGTTGCCAACATCCAGCATGCACACTGTCAACCAGCAGATGCTGATTCCGATCACCATGTAAGAACTAGCGATACCCTTCGTCCCCCACTCAGGAGCCGGTACGTCTGGAGGAGCAAGATCATCAACTCGCTCTGTCCCGCTCCCAAATCCCAGAAGAAACGTATTCCGAAATTTATTTGCGGAACCCCAGAGACAACAAGCTCAAGGCCATGTCGACATGTTCAGAGGTGTCGACATCAACAATCAAAGGCGTCAGGAGCCGGAGGTCATCACCATATAGTCACCACCTGAGCAAAGGACAACTCAGGCAGCAACACCTCCAAAAGCGGTAGGTCTGCAGATGCAGACGAATATGACAGGTCCATTGGCCATCATCATGGAGGAACTGAGGGAATTGCGAGAAAAAGTCAATGGCATACCAGGAGCCCCTCGTCCGCTTGACATGGCAACGCATACTTGCTACGTGGATTCACCCTTCGGACGACATATTGCAGACGTCGAGATCCCAAGGAAATTCACTGCACCATCTATGAAGTTATTCGATGGAACCTCCGATCCGGTAGAACACGTCGCCCAGTACAAGCAGCGGATGTTGGTTATCTCTGTTAGACCGGACCAACGAGAAGATTGTATGTGCAGGGCGTCCGGGACAACATTGGCGGGACTAGCATTGACGTGGCATCAACTCATTTGTAGATCTTGTTAACTTGTTCACCCAGCAGTTTGCGAGTAGTCGGACCCTGGAAAAGCAAACCAGCGACATGTATTGTGTAACCCCAAAGGCGCAACGAGCCCTTACGAGATTACCTGCATCGCTTCAACAAAGAGAAGGTGGCAATCCCAAGATGTGACACACTGACGGCTGTGGAAGCATTCACAAAAGGACTACGTGAAGATTCAGACTTGTACATGGAACTGACTAAGTTTCCATGCAAGACCTTTGAAGACGTCCAGCCATGACAAATTCAATCAAGAACAGGTTCGAGCCATATTGGACATTGAATCTCCCAAATCAATCAAAGACGTCCAAAGACTGATCGGACGAGTTGCAGCACTCAACAGATTCATATCAAAGTCGTCAGACAGGTGCCGACTTTTCTATGACGCCCTCAGAAAAAATAGGAAATTCGAATGGACGGAACAACATGAAAAAGCCTTGCAACACCTAAAAGAGTACATGACAACACCACCTCTGCTGACAAAACCCAAGGATGGCGAGGAACTACAGCTGTACTTGGCAGTATCTGAGCATGCCGTCAGTGCGATCTTGACCCGAGAAGAAGACGGCCAGCAAACACCAGTTTATTTTGTAAGTAAGTCGTTAAACGGGCCGGAATCCAGGTACACACTACTAGAAAAATTAGTACTGGCGTTAATTACAGCATCAGTTAAATTACGTCCTTACTTTGAATCACATTCTATATGCGTGCGTACTAATTATCCCATGAAGTCCATCATGAGGAAACCAGAACTGACAAGTAGGATGGTGAAATGGTCGATACAGTTGGGGGCATACGACATCACATACAAACCCAGGACAGCTTTAAAGTCGCAAACCTTGGCTGATTTGTGGCGAACTTTAACCCCAAACTACAAATAGAGGCAGAAAAGGAAATATGCCTTCTGATAGAGGGTCGACACCAACAGAAGTGGACACTACATACGGATGGAGTCTCGAACATGCATGGAGCAGGACTTGGAGTTATGTTAAAGTCACCACAAGGGGGCACCATACTACAAGCTGTCCGATGTGATTTCAACGCAACAAATAACGAAGCGGAGTACGAGGCACTGATCTTCGGACTAAACTTAGCCCGAAACCTGGGCATAAAAATACTCGAGGTAAAGTGCGATTCCCTTTTAATTATTAATCAAACTAACGAGATTTATGCATTTAAGGACCCAAAGATGACGACATACCTTCAAGTCATCAACAACATCACCTTTGATCAAGTCCCGAGGAAGGAAAGCGTCCAAGCTGATGCCTTATCAGCAATCGGATCATGTCAGGGGGCAGAAAGTAGTGACAACATACCATTCGTCCAATCGAATGAGCCGGCCATTGAGAAGTCAGAATCTGTCAACATCATTGAATCAACCGCAGACAACAACTGGATGCAGTCATATGTGAACTATCTCAAGCACAACATCCTCCCAGTTGACAAAAGAGAAGCAAGCACACTCCTATCAAAGGTAACAAAGTTTTTATTAATTGATGGCATTTTGTTTAAACGTTCAAAAACAGGTCATATCAAAGGTGTTTAACCCCCACACGAAGCTGTCAAAGTACTCAAAAGCCTTCACGAAGGGGAGTGTGGCAATCATGCAGCAGGTAGAAGTCTGTCTAACAAGGCCTTGAGGTTTGGTTACTACTGGCCAACGATGAGGCATGATGTTGTCACATACACTTAAGCTTGTCAGTCTTGTCAGAAGCATGCACCATTACATCATCAACATGCAGAATCGCTACACCCTGTCTTGTCTCCGTGGCCCTTCATGAAATGGGGCATGGATATCGTAGGAAAGCTATCCGAGGCACCCGGACAAAAGGTCTACATGTTGGCAATGACGGACTACTTCTCAAAGTGGATCGAAGCGGAACCCTTCCGACAAATCCGCGACACCCAGGTGATATCTTTTATTAAAAGAAATATATTGAGCAAATTTGGCATCCCATCAGATATTGTTTGCGACAACGGATCACAAATTCATCAGCATCAAAACCAGACGATTCTGTGAGAAGTACAATATCAAACTCGAGATGTTGACGCCTCGTTACGCGCAGTCAAACGGACAAGCCGAGTCAAGCAACAAGATCATCATCTCAAACCTAAAGAAATGACTTGAAAAAGCACAAGGGAAATGGGCTGACGAGTTGCCTTTGATACTGTGGGCAGACAGGATGACACCAAAAAATGCCACAGGACAAACACCTTTCTCACTAGTCTACAAATGCGAAGCATTCCAGTCGAAGTTGAGGTGCCCACATCCAGGTACAGACTTATCACAAAGGAAACAAACAACATAGAACTGGTTCATGACCTTGACACCATTGACGAGTTGAGAGAGAAAGCTAAAGTACAGATGGCGGCCTATCAACAAATGGTGGCAAGAAGCTACAACAAAGATGTCCGGGCTAAAATATTCAAGAAAGGTGACTGGGTGCTCAGGAAATCTTTCGGCAACAAAGCAAACGGAAAGTTTAGTCCTAACTGGGAAGGCCCATATCAGATTACAGATGTCGTTGGGCAGGGGGCATATCGGTTGGAGTCCATATACGGTAAACAAGTACCAAGGAGCTGGAATGCAGTACACTTAAAACCCTTTCATTTCTGATATGATTACCCATAGAGATATTTATCTTATGTTCTATTTGATTCTCTTACTAACTTGATCGTCGGAGGGTTGTTTCACTACTAGAATTTTCCTTATTTGTGGCTCCCTATTTGCTGCAGTTT